CTAATATTAATTGTAAGATAATTTTTAAAATAGGATTAAAAAAATGAAGTCGCGTCTGTTAAAATGCTTTTTAATATAAAATATTTTAAATGTTGAGTATTCTAACTTTGGGCATATGAAGTTAGAGGTAATTTATTTTCAACATAGTATACTTATTTCAAACTTGTTTATTTACAGTTTATAGGGACGGTTACCATATTTTTAAACTATACTTTTCATACTGTTGTTTCTCCTTGTTTTTATGTTTAAGTGACATATATTTTTATAATCATTACATTCCTATATAATAAAATACGTTTTGTACTTTCTCATATAACAATTTCATTATTGTTTTTACACTTAATCTGGTATATATTATAAATATAATATATTTTTGTGCTTACATAAAGCCAAACAAATATTATATCCAAAAATACCGTTTTGAAATATATTATACAATGAAATAATTTCTTTGCATGAACTAAACAAAAACATATTTAAGTGAAATTATTAACTAATATGTATATTTACATTTTTAACATAACAAAATATTAGAATTGTATTTACGATTTGGATTTCAATAAGGGTTAACAACAAATAAAACTCTGATAAAGAATATCCATGATATTATCTTTGATCAAGCAAATCAGTTGGATGGTGGTTTAGGACCACAGTTGTGGGTGCTCTGAATGTAAACGATCCTTCCTCTGAAAGTGTGGAGGGCCGCTTTACACCAAGGACCTCTGGAGCATCTCCACCTGATCTTACCATTTCTGGCGCAACCGTTGAAACGAAACCTGTAACCTCCAACGTTGATGCCCATCTTGCCTTGCTTGCTGAGGCAGTAAGAAGCGAAACAATCGATACCAGCGCCGATCAAGCCAACTGCAACAAAATTATTTAACTGTAGTTATTTAAAATAAAAAATTATAAACAATCATGCTCTTAATGTTCTATAATTGTATAAACTAGAAAAATAAAAAACTTAAAAATGGAAACGTTTTCACGATTTTCAATAAACAAAATTATGCTTTTTGTAAATGTCATTGTTTATGTTTAGACCTGGTGACTTTCTTCGTCATTCTTCTTATCAGCTAAAAGATTTCCTGAACGAGTGTTAGGAAAAAATGTAGGACGATTCAAAAGTACATTCAATAAGTTTGATTTTGACCACTTTAAAATAGTTTTGTGTATTATTGACATCCTTACATGATATATTTTCCGTTGCAGTAACGTATGGCGTCTCCAACCGAGGTCATCCAGTAATCAACGTTGGTGGTCACAAATTTATAAAGCACGAGTGCTACAGGAACAGAATAAGATGGACTTGCTGTCATAGGATTCGATACAGATGCAGAGCAAACATCACTACCTTAGATTCTGTTATTGTCAGAGCATTTTTGAATCATAACCATTGATATAGCACGGTAGCCGAACAGACATTTTCGTACATTAATCTTTGTGTCTACATCAGTAGAAGTTTTCACATTGCTATGACAAAATTGGCTAGATGCATCTGCGCGAGCGCAATAGCAATATGTTTACGCACGATCGTAAGAGATATGTAATGCCGGGTCAATGCACGAAGTTCTCTGCTCCGCGACCGTGCTATAGTGAAGTGTCATAGGATTCGATGCAAAGCAAACATCATTTCTTTTTTTTTACTTTGACATGAGATTCGAACCCACGACTCGATTGCGAAAAGGTCCTTTTGAATTTTTCATTAAGAATATTTTCCAGTATAGCATTGTAAATGCTTTTTTGAATCACAATAATTGATAGTGAAGGTTCTTTTTTAAATATTTTTACACTTAAGTAAATCATGAATGTTTTTTTTTAAGTGATGAATCGTACTGTGTGTATTTTTATAGTTTTTGTGAGTTTCGGCTTGGTTTTTCTATTGAACGATGATAGATCAATAATTTTACAAATTTCAAATGATTATTAACTTAACAATGGTGACAATTCCGTTGACACAAACTTAATTTAGTTATAATCGTTTAAAATTGCGTTTTTAATCCCGTAAACAGAAACGCATGCATTATGTTCATATTTCTTAGAAACCCAAATGTTTTTAGTTTAGTTTAAAGAGTACAACACAATTGGCGCCAATATTCCCACCGTCTTATTTATATTTTCATTTAATTATTGTAAACTTTACGAACCAAAGTTCGTTTAGTCCAAAGTTCGTTTAGTCCATAGTTACATTTTATATCTTTTGTGTTACTTTTTCTTTTCTTCTTCTTTTCATTAAGAATATACAATTTTGTAATAAAATGACACAGTTTATTGTTTTCTATAATGTTTATTTATTTTTAAAATAATAAACAATAACATCATTTTTCCAAAGTGCCTTTGAACTGTAACATGTGCCTTTTGAAACGTGTACGATACAAAGAAATTACAAAGCTTTTCTGTATAATGTAAGGTATTTTTAAAGTATTATTTAAGCAAGTAATAAATAATGCTGATCATTCCCATTAATTTTTTAATGTAATGTTTCAAATTCTATTTTTGAAACTTAATGTTATGTGGGTGTACATGGTATATTTTGTAATTTTGAATAAATTTTGAAAAAATCAGCAATGTGTTTTGTATTCCTATCCTATGGTCAAGCATTTACAATTTTACACTCTTGATATCGCTTTATACTAAAGTTAACAACATATATGGACAATGAAATTAATCACATGTATATATTTAATAAGTACCAGTTACTTTACTTTTAAACCAAATTGTTGGAAAAATTTGGCTGTAAAGGATGGCATGGCGCTTGATTTTTTAATAGCATTTTTTTCAGACTTTTTTTATAAACTTGCACTAATTACGTAATACTTATAATTGTATTAATATATGGATTCAGAGTTTTTTTTCCCGGTAAGTACACGTAGCAGTCGTCAGGTTGCCCTCGTGTTTATTGAAGACTCCATTGAGGATATTAAAATTAAGTGGAGTTTGACAGTTTTTTTTTATAATCCGACGTGCCCTAAACAGTGTTGTTAGTTCTCTAAAGCCGGATTACACTTCAATAAGTGGGGGGAGTGAAGTTCTTTCCATCATTCAAACGGCAATAAGAACTTTGGTAACTAACACGATTATATAAGTTTAGAACTTTTACTGATGGATTAGTTAAGTATACTGAATAACTTTTACTATGGGAGCGGATGCTGGTGAATTCAGTGTTACTCCCATAGTAAAACTTATTCAGTATACTTCACTAATCCACCCCTAAAAGTGTTAGCAAATAATAATATTACGCCTTATATTGCAGTGTCTTTCGGTTTTAGGGTTCATGAGTACAAATTGATCATAACTACCTGTTATAATACCGACTTTAAGATGTTATACATCTAATTATCTAAATGCTACCAATAGTTTGACTAAAGCGAATTTTCACTAAAATAAAATATAGTAACGTACTAATGTACAACTTATCACCTGATTTTGGCTTATCTATATATGAACATGTAAGACTTCGCAAATATAATAATTATATAGTACAATCAACAGCAAGTAAGCTTATATAAAATCGACAAATTTCACCAGTTGATTTTAAACATTATGCATTGTGAACAGAGTTCAAAATCAATTGAGGAAATTTGAGATACTGGGGTAATCAGAGGTGTAGCATAGGTGTAGTCTATACATGTCTAGTTTTATCACTGCACTAGACAAAAGTTTCATCATCATCACCAGCTCTTTTACGTCCCCACTGCAGGGGCTCAGGCCTTCCTTATGGATGGTTAAGGAGGATGGGCCATGACCCTTCACGCTGGCCCAATGCGGATTGGAGGGTATTAACGACTGCAAATGCAGCCGGGACCAACGGCTTAACGTGCCTTCCGAAGTACGTAGTAGCTCGAGATAATAATTTTTTGGTCACCTATCCCGTGACCGGCCCTTACGAAAGTTGCTTAACGACTACGATCGCGGGCCGCGGTGCTTATCCACTACGCCACCTAGCTACTAGACAAAAGACAAAAGTTTACATAAGTATTATATCATCATCATAATTACCAGCTTATTAATATACCCACTGCTGGGGCTTAGGTCTTCCCTACAGTATGTCATAATTGTATAGCAATATAAGACAGAACTTACGTATGATCTTTAATTAGTATCTATGTGTTGTCTTATTAATATTCATACATAGGTATATCTTATTTTTAAAATCCATCACCGACCACGAACCTTCAATATTAAAAACGAGGCGTAAAAAGAGGCATAAATATTTATTTATTAAATTACAAAGTTTAAATAAAAACAGTAAAATACAACAAGAAATGGAAAAACGGCGAATTTTAAGGTAATTTTTTGATTACCTAAAGAGAAAATATTATAAATTCTCATTTTCGCTGTGAAAGAGACCTTAGAAATATGATATACCTACTTCTCCAATTTCTAATTGCACCTTATCAAGATATTATTTCTCATTACAAAACTAGTTAAAAGTGAGTGATTCTTGGTTTTCACGTCTTTTTACCTGTCATTAGTCGTGTTATTTTACAGTACAAAGCTAGTTAAAAGTGAGTGATTCTTGGTTTTCACGTCTTTTTAACTGTCATTAGTCGTCATTCAGAAAACTGTTTAATCATGATTATGGGTGTCGTTCAGTTTAACACACTGATCATAGGAAGTAATGGCTATAGCGCGGCAACGGAGGAACGATTTGCTACAACGCCATCTGATCCGGCCTTGTCTGTTGGCGTAATGCTTCATGAACCTGTTGTGTCCTATCATCAGAATCTTCCGTCCGTTTACGTCTACGAGGTGGGCGGTGCCACCCATTGGCAGCGCAATATCAATCATTTCCCGAGTCCCAAAATAAGAATCTGGAATTTTGAGATTTCATTAATAAGGTAATTGGTTGTTTGGATTAAAAAATGCACTATGCAAAGATAAGTGAATTTATACTTGCCAAAGAAGAAATATTTCGAAAGCTCTCAGAAAGTAAAACTTTAGAATGTATTAAAAACTAATAGACGCTGCTCTAGGTGATTCCTAAAAGCTCAACTGCGGTCTATACATATGACCTATACCTAACATACAGCAATTATACATTATAGGAGATCATTAAAAATAAATGTCTAATAACAATAATTTTATTGAATTGTTGAAGAACATAAATTACTATTTGCATTACTACAACACAAGTATTTTTAAGTTTTTATTAATGAAAGCTATGCAAATTGAAAATAAGTAATAAATAGTGCGATGGTGTTATTTAGTATCTCCATCTTGTAAAGCATTAGCAGATTCAGGAACTTTGCCACAGTCTTCTTTATTTTCTTTTATAACAGTCTCAGTGTTAGATATTTTTTCGATTTCTGCAACGACCGAGTTATTTTGTATTGACATATTAATAACTGAATTATTCTCACTCTGAAATTGTGATTGCACCTCATTTTGATTTGGTTCTATTGCCAACTGTTGTATATTTGGAATTGAACCGTCATCATTCTCATGTGCATTGGTATTTTCTATTACGATATCAACAGATAAATTTCGAAGAGGATCATGCGTTTCCGCAACATCGTGATGTTTACTTTCCGAGTGTGTTTCGACAATTGTCGGGACTGATGTAAAATGGAAATCTTGTATCACACTTGTGGACTGAAATCCTTTGATTCTTTCAAGTTCTCTTTCCTCTCCGTCCGATAGTATTTCAATAGGAGCTTCGTCTCTTACAACTTCTATGACATCGTCATCTGAGAAATTGTCGTTAAGTGCTTGTGATGCAACTCCGCTTATCACTACATTGATGCATCCGTCGCCTGTAAGATTAATCATGAAGTTGAATAGAATGATAAGGTTTCCATAAGGTTGATGTGTCTAAGCAACTTATTAAATAAGGTAATAGCTACTGCTGATAGAATACGATTGTTTATAATAGTTTAAAAGAAACATTAAATGATTGACAGACTGTTGTATTGCAAGTATTTTTTTTTAAGTATCATTACAATAATAAAATCGGGTTGCTTATTAGGAATCTAAGTAGCAAGTCATTTTCACTATCTGAACAGAAACATTAGATTTTTTTTATTTGTTATTATATGACTATATTTAGATTATAACAAAACAATTGATATATAAAAAAACCTTAGGTTGTTAACATTTTTTTTATATCTGGAGATTAATATGATCTAACAACGAGAACGTGAGGTGGTGAACATACTGAAAGTGTTTGATCTATGATGGAAAAGGAGTGATATTTAAAAGGTTCTAAAAGGATTAAAAAATATATCTATTTGTATGTAACTATATTTGTTTCAGACATAATAATAATAATTAAAAGAATATAAAAACTTCTAGATATGTAATGACAAACAATAAGTGATCAAATGTTCTTGAATTTGAATTATAAAGAAGAAACATTACTAAACCATAAACAAACTAACAAGGTGAATCACAGCTGAAACTTAAAATTAAAAGTAAACTAATTTTTAATAATATCACTGGCACTACGTATTGTAATTACCGTGTAGAAGAAAAAGCTCACAGTCGGCGACTGACATTAGGTACGTTTAATATGAACGCAGCCGTAGTTACCGTGTAAAGTCGGTAATAAGAATGGGTTCTATAAAATGTATCCTCGAATGGTTTATTGAAATGAGGCTAAAAGTTCCTACAAAATTGCCTGTGATTGTCTAAGCTTTAGGTATAAGATAATTGCACCAATCACATGATTAAAACGAAATCTCTTCCTCAGAAATTCGGTAAAATATTAAACTAGGCCGCAGCGAAGTGGATTTTAGCTTATAATTAGATATATGTTCCCTAAATTTGTTTAAAAATTTCAAGTTTTTTTTCTTATCAACCAATATACTGATGTCAAAGCCATAACCATAGTTATGTTTGTATTTATATTTTTATTTTATGTGTGTATTTATAATGTTATAACAGTGTCCCCTCAAGGATCATTACTTTGTTCCCATTAGATATTGGAACAATTTGGAAGTCGAAACGATAAGAAAAGGAATTGCCAATGAAAGAAGCTAGTGGGACCGCATAACAACATGGACCATGGTACCATTTGCCTAATTAATTAATTTTGTTATTTTCCAGATAGCTGCAAAATAAAAAAGCAACGTTTAATACGTTGTTACGTACATAACGTATAATATTTAATTTATTAGATTTGTTTTTTTTTTTTTTTTTTTTTATGTATATGAGGGCAAATGACTGCGCTCCACCTGATGGTAAGCGGAGGCGTAGTCCAAACGTGAGGACAGGTAGTGAAAACAGTACGTAGGTACTGCACTAGCCAACCTCACCTTGCCTACCTGCAAGGTGCTTCTTCACGCCCCGCTTGAAGGACCCCATGTCATAGGAAGGAGGGAATACATGGGCCGGGAGACAATTCCATTTTTTGGTAGTACGACAAAGAATTGAGTCGCCAAATTTCTTTGTACGCGAAGGAATCGCTGCCACAGTTAGTTGGTGGCAACGCAAACCAGCACGTGTGGTCCTGAGGAGGAAGGGAGATGGAGGGATAAGCGAAAAGAGTTCTTCAGAGCATTCACCATGGTAGAGACGGTAGAAGACGCTGAGCGAAGCAACGTCTCGGCGCAGTTGCAGGCTTTCTAGGTTCTTGGTGACTTCACCATTGCCAATAATGCGTACTGCGCGGCGCTGCAATCTATCCAAAGCATCGAGTAAGTACCTAGCGGAGCCATCCCAAAGGTGCGAGCAATACTCCACGCATGACCGGACCTGCGTTTTGTATAGCAGGCACAGTTGTTCGGGCGTGAAAAAACGCCGCACCTTATTCAGGACACCGAGTTTACGAGATGCTGTTTTAATAACGGACTCGATGTGGTTTTTGGGATTCAGATCACAGCGCACTTCCATCCCGAGCATGTTGATGCTGCTCTGTAGAGGCAAGGTTGTGCCCTGAAGAGAGGGAAGGGAAGGGAATGGAGGGGTCTTGGCGGTAAATACGCAAACCTGAGTTTTCTTGGCATTGAACTCAACCAGATTTTCAGCACCCCATTTCGATATGAGATCCAGAACGTGATTGAGCTCAATGACAAGATTCTCCCTTTTCTCCAGGATTTCCGCCCGTCCGACTGTAGGAGCCCCGTGATATCCCACATGCACTGTGCTATCGTCTGCATAGCAATGGATATTTCCAAGTGGAAGCATGTCATTGATATGCAGCAGAAAAAGTGTAGGGGATAGAACGGAGCCCTGAGGCACACCGGAGTTGACTGACATAAGCTGTGAAGAGCATCCGTCAGAAAGAACACGGATTTTACGCTCACGCAGAAAGTCGGCTATCCAGGTGCAGAGTTGAACGGGCAGACCGTAGGCCGGAAGCTTGGAGAGAAGTCCCTTGTGCCAAACCCTGTCAAATGCCTTAGCAATGTCAAGACTGACAGCCAAGGACTCGCCGCGCTTGTCGATAGCTTCACCCCAGAGGTGCATGACGTGCGCTAGAAGATCACCAGTTGATCGTTTTGGTCTAAAGCCATACTGACGATCATTTACAAGGGAGTGATCTTCTAGGTATCGGATCAGTTGGGAGTTAATAATCCTTTCCAGGACTTTACACAGCACAGAGGTGATAGCTATAGGGCGGTAGTTTGCAGGGTCTGACCGATCTCCCTTTTTGGGCACTGGCTGCACAATGGCCTCTCTCCAAGCCTCAGGTACACGACCCGAAGAAAGAGATAGCTGGTATAGGCGCGTAAGTACAGGAGTCAACTCCGCTGCACACATTTTTAGAACAACCGCAGGAATGCCATCAGGACCACTAGCTTTCCGGACATCGAGTGACTGTAGTTCCGCACGCACATCACGCTGCCTGATATGAATATCAGGCATAGTGAAGCCACTAGAAGGTAACGTTGGTGGCAGTGCATTACAGTCATTGATTTGGGAATTAGCCGCGAAGAGGCTTGCCAAGAGGTCGGCTTTCTCCTGCGGCTTGTGAGCTAATGTTCCATCTGGACATCGAAGCGGTGGCAGCGAGGGCTGGCAGAAATTGTTTTGCACGGCCTTGGCGAGGCGCCAGTAGCTACGGGAGCCCGTAGGGTGCGTAACTAGCTCATGGCCAATACGTGCGACGCGCTGGGCATCCGCTCTGATGTAAGCCTTCTTACAGGACTTGGAAGCCTGATTGTAGGCTGCTTTTATTGAGTCGATATCGGGATCCCTCCGAGCACGACCCCTGATCCAAGCTCGATATGCCAGCTGTTTAGATGCAACAGCGTTAGCACAATCGCGATTGAACCAGCTGTTGTGTTTGCCCATACTGATCAGATCGGAGTGCGGAATGTAGTATTCCATAGCAATACCGATCTCCTCAGTAATAGCAACGGCGCTCGTTGTCGGATCCTTCTCACTAAAGCAGCGCTGCTTCCAAGGAACGGATGCAAGGTACTCGCGCATGCCGTCCCAATCCGCTGAGCCATAGTGCCATACGCGTTGTCGAGTCCTCGGAGGTTGAGGGGGCTCGATTCGCGGCACTTTGGTGGATATCAAGCAGTGGTCGGAATTGCCCAGTGGGACACGAACATCAACCTGATAACCGACGGGATGGCTCGTAAGCAGAAGGTCCAGTAAGGAAGGCGTTTGACCGACTATGTCTGGGATCCTGGTGGGCTGATCGACCATTTGAGTCAAGTCATGCGTGAGAGCGAATGCGTGGGCTGATCTCCCCGCATGGTCCGTCTTGGAGGAACTTAACCACGATTCGTGGTGAGCGTTGAAGTCCCCCAAGAAAACCAGTTCTACGAAAATAATGTGTAATGTTATGAAAAATCTATTTTTATGAAAAATATATTTATATATATATTTATTTATATATATATATATATAGTATACAATTGTTTTAGTTGATTCATTTTATTATATTATAAATAAATGGTCGCTCGGATTGCGAAAGCTCATGAGTTCGACTCCCATCTCAGAGTGCCATGGACAAAGTTGATTTTTTGGCATTTGTCATTAAGAAAACGTTTGTTAATTTTCAAAACGTAATAGTGACATAAATTATATTTTGTTTAACATTTATAAGTTAAAATGGTTCATACTTTCCGAATATATAACATATACCTGTATTTTCATACTACAGTTTCATTTTAAATATAAAAACAAGAAATTGAACAATTGCGCATTGATACTTCTAGTTTTTTACTTAATGTAAAGTATTGGTCGTCTGGGACCGAGTTACAAAGACTATTAAATAAAACAAAAACTTCATTTACAAAAAGATCTTATTAAGCTGAAGTCGAAAAAGGTTGGCAATGTTTTTTTTTACAAAAATTTCATTTTCTAAATTTTGAAGCTTAACCAAACTTGAACTTGAAGTTTAGAGCCCGCCATTAGCCTTTTTATATTGACGGTAAAATGTATCATTGATATACAATATAAGCGTCTAAAGAACTGTTGAAGTTGTGCCCTTTAAGTGTACGTACTTAACGTATAACTAACTTACCTAACTAACCTAAAATAGAGTTAAAGCACCATGATTTTTAGCTACTTGTATGTCAAAGGCATACTTTGAAATACAAGTTGAGCTTGGCAACCCTAGACTTCGGTTACTATCGAGGACTTGCGCCAATAATTATTACCCTAAATATATTTAACGAATTAGAATTTTATAACGTTTTCTTTTAGTTTTTAACACCAGAAACATTGACAGTTAACGTAGAGGCATGAAAAATGTGGCGAGGCGCTACATTTTCTGTATTTTTTTTTTGAAGTAACGGCCAGTCAATGCTCATAATTTAAGACAATAAGTTGTTAAAAAATATATAAAATGTCATGTTTCTTAGATAAACGCCATTGAAGTTACCCTGTGACGTCACGATACAAGTTTTTCAAAGTCGAAATCAAATACACACACACTACATAAGAATTCCGTAATAAATTTTGAAATATTTGTAAATAAATTGTAATCAATTTGAGAAATTTTGGTTTTAAACCTGAAGTGCTGTCTTCCGTACCTACCCATAAACGAGACCTTAGACGGACAAACCCCAAACAAAGAAACTTTCACATTTATAATATCAATAGGATAGGATTTTGGACTTTAGGTAGTTAGTACAACGACATAATGCAAATTGTTACGTAAAGATTTGCTGAATTGAAGCACCGGCTTCATGTAAGGCTCCTAATGATTGTGTTTATCAACAATGTATGTTATAACATCTTCTTTGGTTCTGATTCTCCCTGGACAATGGTGTGTATAGTACGCAGTGCACATCCAACTGATGGAAGCCCCGAACTGACTTCGTTTGTTGAACGTGTTACCCTTGTAGTTCAGTAACGGTTGTCCTCGTTTCGATTTTGTCAAAAACAATTTCTCATCTGAAAAAAATATACGAGTTACTAAGCTGGAGAGCTGAAGGGATGACGACATTTTATTTTGTCTCACCGTCAGGTACTTTGTTGAAGAGTATTTTTCAAGCACTTGTTATAATTTCGCTACTACAGAGCGTATTTACATAAATTTTTAGGCATTACACCCAAACAGCCGAATGAAATATTTTTACAAATATTTAAATTTTAGACAAAGTTGATAATTTTATCTAATTATTATATGTGATCAATTTCATTAAGTATATTTTTCAATATAGCATTGTGAAAGCAAAACTTATTAAAATATGATATATTTTTCTATTATCTGACTGATAGACTAATTAGAAATTCTTTATTTTTAACCAATCGTCATCTGTATTCTGTTATAAAAATAACCTGCAGCTCTACGAGCGCAAGGCTCTGAAGCTCCAGGCTGTTTTTTAACGGAAAAGAACCAATAAATTTTCTTGAGATTCTGGTGCTCATAAAATTAAACAAAAAAAAATCTAGAAAACAAATAATCTAACATCAATAGATGAAGTTGTCTATAATAAAAAACTGCTTTTATATTTATCTTTAATTCAATTAAGATAAATAACCCTTTGGTATATGCAAATTAATCATTTAATCTTAAGAATATAATATATTCTAGTTTCATTCCGGCATTCATTCTGATCTACTCTCTGCCGTTGGGACGCTCATGAATCATCATCTAAGTACAGGTAAGCACAATTCCTGAGATTATCCTTAGTTTTCTTGACCAGCCTCCCAAGTTTCGACTTGGAAATGCTGTGAGATTTGGCTATTGTCCTGATACTGCAACCGTCTTGGACTACTTGTCTTATCGCCTCGAGGGTCACAGTATCGACCTTTTTTAAACACCTTCGTCTGCTTTTCGATTTAGAGACGCTACGAGATTTACGCTCCTCTTGGATCACTCGCTTTATTGCACTGTGTACCACCGTCTTCAATAAACCTGGCAAATGAGTATTAGAATTGATGATCAAGTAAATTGTCTATTTTTTTTCCATTTTATTCATGGCCGGTAGTGCGCAGCAAAAAAAAAGAACGAATAACGCTTTGTGCGGCGTCTGTCTTAATTTTACTAGGTGAGCCCAAGCCCCAATGATGACTGAGTTACATAGGTTGGCGCAATTAACAAGTGAGCGCCATATTAGCAGACTATGTATTATATACTAATAGAGTTATATATGTAATAGCCACTATTCAGTAAGTGTTATACCCCTTGTTTTTTTTTTGTTTGTAGCCGGGCCTTACAATTGTGACCGAGCTCCTATCGTTTCCCCCACTATTGTCAGCAGGCCCTATTTCCCTTGTTACAATTTCCTACTCATTAAAAATTTCGTGGTGGACACCCTAATAACTATAACACAATCCCAATTTAGTGCATGCAGTCGTCACAACACATATCAAATATCAAACATTAGCATAATTAACGTGTTTTTTCGCAGAATCTGGCGAATAGATAGTTGTAATAGATAATAAAGGCATTAACAAAAAACAGGGTACTACTAATCAACGATCGATGATGAAACACAAGAAATAAAATGCTATTCCTAAAAATAATACTGTTTTGCATTACAACAAAACAGTTATTATGTATGTGAGAAAACACACAACGTGTTCAAGATACGAATGTAAACATTGCCAATAAAGTATTAACTCAGCGGTATATCTTCAGTATATATTTTCTTATCTTACCGGTATTATCTTTTCTTTTGACTGAACTGAATGGTGTAGTTTCTCTTGAATTTTTGCCGGTAAAGCATGCACAAATTTTCAGTTGTAAATTTACCAACAAAAATAGAATATTACACAATTTTATAGTGTTTTAAAGTTCCAATCTGTGTTAACTGTGGGCTAATTGCTGAATCAAATTATTTCCAATAATTTGGTAAATAATTTGTTCAAAACTTCTCAGTAAGATGTAGTACAATATTACAGTAAAACACAGGATTTGATTGAGTATATTGATATCGTGTAATGGTCATCTACGCTGAAAAACTATTTGTTTTCCTTAACGTGAGGTGAAGTGGACAGAATCGTGGTTGACGAAATCTTACCATTAACAGATAAATAGAATTAATAGCGTATGTACCACTAAGCACGAATACCACTGATTCGGATAAAGAGCGTACAGTGCAGTTGCAGTGTGGTCAAATTGTATTGAATAACGATAAAAAAACACACAAGAAATAAAACACTTTATTTCTAAAAATATATCACATTCATTCACATGATTTATGAACTGTATTCTTGATAGTGGTTGTGCTCGTTGTGTAAATGCACAATTTCATCTAATACCGTATGAACTTTAGCGGTACAGTCGGCATGAGCAGCACACTTCCAGGTTTTCTTGATGCTCTTAAGACAGTAACTCCGGCAGATAAAGGCATGTCCTCCTACCACTAGCTGTCGGGTACCTCTTACTGATGTTCTGTAAAATACTGTAATACAGACCAGATTTCAGTAAATCACAGCTGCTAAGGAAAAGCTGTTACTAGGTTAATTCAGATGTTAGAGATAATAGTTATTTATGGAATTGCTTATGTTTTGAGCCTTATTGGGCGGTGTAAACATATTGTTTGTAACAACGGCGAAATATCAGGGATTCAATAAAAAGGTACATGGTAGCAATCCCATACATAGCTATTGCTCTTTTCAAATGACCATGAAAGTTTAAAACAACAAATTTAGATTTTAATGTTCAAAATACTAAAAACGATGAAGGCAAAAGGGAAAATGAAATAAAAATATCTTGACTGAATTATTAACTTTATTTATATTATAAATATATATCAAGAGTGTGCTCACAAGACAGGCGAATATTCTAATTGAAATACTTATATACACAACTAATTTTATTATTCACACATATTTTTAAACGTCTGTTGAAAAATATGTGATCCTCTGATCCAAGTGCCATCGTTAGCTTGGTGATATTTGGGTGGATCGTGGCAGTGATTAGGAAAGAAAGCTTCTAATCCTCGCATCGGATCCTCCTCTTTGCTAATCACCCTCGCTTTGCATCCCTTCGAAATACTGGAGCATCTCCATAGAACCTTCCCTAAAGACATTTTCGAGAATCTCTTGAAAGTGTGACCGTTGACCATGAGAAGTGGATATTTCCTCCCGAAGGGCAATAAGCGAACTGAAATAAAAAAAACTCACATTAAAATTAAATACTATTTATTCATGCGTTTATCTATAAGGATATTTGTGATATTCGCATTCTTAAAATTATTAGTAACTGCGTTAGAGCGACGAATGAAATTATATTACATATTGTACAGATTCCATTTAATACAGTATTAAATCAGTTAAATAAAGTTAAACTCCCATTCTTGGTAATTGCCACCTTCCTGACTCAGTTCTATATTTGGGTCGCTTATGATTATGTTCATGAGTACACACCGCTTCATCATCTCCAACAAGACAGTAGGTTTTACATCCTCTGTGAGTTAAAACACATCTCCAGAAAACCTTTCCTGATTTGTTTATTTTAATGCGCTTGTACATATACCCATCCAACACCATTATGGGATGTTTCTTGCCGGTTGGCAAATATTTTATGTCTGAAAAAAAAAGCCAATGTTTTGAAAAGACATAAAGGTGACATTATAGTTAAGATTATTGAAGATTTGTCCTAAAATTTTTCTCGGATAATCGAGATTGTATAAGTTTATTCAATCCTCTGATGTTAAGATGTGAACTTATGTTTTTGGGTGACTATTCCTCTAATTAAGTTTGGTTTTTGAGCTAAACCGCGGATAGACGGACAGACAGACTGTCCTCGCGAAACTATAAGAGTTCCTTGTTGACTATGGAACCTTAAAAACAGCATAATTGAAAACAAAAGCTACTTTGTTTCATAAAAATCGGAAAAATTAAAGACTTCAAACATAACAAAAATCAAAATCCCGTTTTAGAAGTACAGTCATTCTCTCTTTCGCTCGGACTGCATGTTATGTATGAAGTTATATTTTTTTATCATGATTCAGCCTATTCAGTTAGTCGTTTTCACGCAGGAGGGTTCTTTTTTATTTTTTTAATTATAATATTTTGCATAGCGTTTTGCTATGTGTTACAATTATATTGCAAAATCTACAAAGAAAACTTTCCAATATCAAAATAAGTGGAACTCCTGATGGTAGGTGATGTTCTCAATTTGTATAAATGACGTCGATAAAACAAAATACTTTTTTTTTATTCCAACATGTTACAAAATGTTTACGTTTAAAATGCGTCAAGATTTAACAGTTATCGTTTTTAAAAATAGTTATTTTAGGAAATACAACAAGGTATTTTTAGATGACATATGACTTATAATATTTGCATGTCGTCCTGATGACAAAATATGCTGGGCATTTTAAAATTGTTAATGACATGTAAAACCATATTTGGGTAAATAAAGATTTTATTATTATTATTATTATTATTATTGTGGACTAACAAGAATTATCGTTTATAACCGCTACAGTACTAGAATATCTACTTCTTAATTACAATACAGCACTGTCTGTGTTTACTAGTCAGCCTTGACTGATCAGTAAGATCAATGTGATTAAAAACCTGGTTCAGAATCAAAACCTGTTTCATTTGAGCTTTTAGCGCTACAGCAGTCAAAGGCTTTACATTTTCTTCAACTCAGTTTTCATGATTGTGTTGGCCTAATTTAACGGTTATACCATCCGTTTTAATAGTTTTGGCGGTTGCTTTGCATCCATGACCTTTCCTGGTACATCTCCATTTGATGTCGCCGTTACGAAGAATGTGGTCTTGATTATACGAACATCCATTTAAAAATAAAACGGGATGACATCGACCTGGCACAATTTTGTAAGAAGTCACAACTGAAATACGCAACAGAATAAAAATTTATCATGGAAAGCAAACTAAGAGTTCAGAGTAGTAAAAGTTGAGACATGGACAAATGTTTATTTTACCGGCAATATGTAAAATTCAGGCATTGTTTACAATACGGATGGCATTCATGAATACCGGGAGGAGTTAGGGAATGTATGAACTATTTTTTCACTCAACGATTTCGATCTTTGAGCGTAACATATACAATTCTTAGGGATTTTATAGAGTACCTGTTGTTCCACACCGTCAATATGTAAGGTAAATACATCCTGATCTATATTTTATCAATGTTAACAGGCCCACCTTATTATCTTACACCTGCAGGTCACGCGATAGGTTAGAATTTCTGATTAATTAAATTTTGAGCTTATCCTCTGGTCTGTGGGGCCGCCTAGCGACAAAAATGCACATCTGTGGCACCGCGTCGCGAGCATGTCACAGACAGGTTCGCGGAGCGTGTCGATTCTTATTAGAATGTGTTTTTTCCAATAAGACCGTTAAAATAAGCTTAAACTAATAATATTCGGAATCTAGAAACAATTATTTAGTAACATTATTAATTACAACTGCTCTGAAGAGTTAATAACAATAGAAAATAACTATGGAAAAATTGGTTCTAAAACATAGTATTATAATTTGGAATTAAATAAAAACAACGCAATGAGTTCTATGTATCTTTATTGTTATTTAATGCTGCCCATATATGAATAACAATACAAGCAAAATATTTTTTGTATAACAAGATTCTTTGGTACCTACCTGCATGACATCCATTTGAAACGCGCGTCAAGTGGCTTTAAATTCAGATCTCGATTCTCAGTAACGATAACAAGTAGAACAAAGACTTTTTATTTATAGTAACTTGAGTTCATCTACTACACAATAAAATAGCGAGCCGACCGTTCCGTTTTATAGATTTTTCATAAAAAAAAACAAAAATGACATTAAAATATGACCTTTAAAACAGTACTGCCGAAAAATCTAATTTCTTGCCAAGTTTATATAAATATTATATTATAATAACAGTTGATATTTTGAGTTCTCGATAGATCTATGGATCCTATTTTATATAATTACAAGCATGCTTCGAAAAAAATTTTGATAATAAATTCAAGTAAAAACAGTGAAATTTGAGACATATTGGGCAAAAACAGTTTAATATGGATAAGACATAAAGTGACGCATCACTTCACGGTTTAATTTTAATATATAAATAATTTTAGAACATACTTATTTATAAGATTTACTAAAAACAAATGGGTAAGGGTAAGTGAGGTGGACATAATGCTAACAACATTATCATTTAGTCAACTTAAGGAGATACGTAGGTCACATAATAAGTTTTTAACTATTTTCGTTATAACATGACTTAAAAAAAAAAACATATTATAACCAAAATATTATGTTTATTGCTTTTCAAAATACTCTCCTTACATTTTTTCATGCAATGGAACCATTTATTAAAACAGGAGGACCACAGATCTGAAGCCATGTTTTTTACGTGCTGATTGAAGGCTATCACTGCCTCTTCGGAGTTGGTAAAAGTAAAACATCTCATCACATCTTTGATTTTGGGTAAAATATAGAAATCACAGGGTGCTCAAACAAGGTGCTTCTCTCCTAAAAGGATTTTGAAGGCGAGCGGCACAGTCTTGCGGAGAGAGAGAACTTTCAAAATCATAAAAAATCATCGCTCTAAAATTTTTTATTAATTTATTCCATTTTTGTTGCGTACGTTTGATAAAAAACAATTGACAAATCATTTTCCGCCAATTTTTTTTTTTTTATTACTAAGAAGGTTGCAAAGTTTAACAAAAAATATAATTATCCTCCTGCCCTTTATCCCACGTTACGTGGGGTCGGCACAACATGTTTTCTTCTTCCATTCTTCTCTGTCAGACGTCAGCTCCACATCCACACCTTTCATATTCATATCCTCTTTCACACAGTCGATCCATCTTTTCTTCGGTCTGCCTCTACTCATATATCCATCCACATGCATACCCATCACTCTTTTCGTAACATAACTTTCGTCCCTTCTCATAACATGCCCATACCACGCTAATCGATTACTCCTCATTTTTTCCGTCACAGGTGCAACTTTCAGGCTTCCTCTTACGTACTTATTTCTAATCTTGTCCATTCGCGTCACTCCACACATCTATCTCAACATTCGCATCTCTGTGCAAAACTTTTAGTGTGCCCCATGTATAGAGAAACGTCAAATGATTTTTTTTAATTTAAAGTATTTTTATAAACAGAACAAATTTCTAATCAAACCAAACCAAACCAACAAAAAAAAAAGATCTAAATGCAATCTCTATTTGCGTGAAGTATCATCTATGATTATATCTATGATTCAATATGATATGGCCCGAAACAGGTAAAAACGCACATCGCCTTATTGCATCCTGCACAATAAGTAGCTGTGCGTTTTTTGCATACCACACAGTTGCGCCTAGGGCGTTCCTGGCGCTGCCCTGGTCCGGTCATATCATATTGCGCGGGGATATGCCCAGCGGAAGCTGGGTACATCGCCTGTGGTGGTTGTGGAATGGTGTTTCGAGCGAGGAGCTGGTTCACCAAAATTGAGCGAAACATTCGATGGTTAATTTTTTGCTCACTCGATTTAAAAATTATGTATGCATTCAAAATACTGGCATTTAATAATCGTTTAAATAATGTTTTGTACCATACGTGTGTACGTTGTCTTTCAATGGGAAACATGGCGAGCATTTGGTCCTTGCGGTCCACGCCACCCATACGCACATTGTAGTCGGCTATGATATTCGGCTTTATCTTATCTGAGCACGACACGGTCTGTAGACCGTGATATGTTGAGATAAGGCTCACCAGGTTCTTATCTCGCCATAACACAATATCTACATCACCCGACGTACTGCCACACAGTTGACCTACCGCCATATTTTGCTTATTTCTAGTCGCCAGTTCTACAGGAACGAACTGACGATTTAATCGGAGCGTTCCCACGCAGTCAAACCCCCGAGATTTTAACTCACGAGCGAGAGCTGGTGAGTTATAATAGTTATCCATCCATATCGTGTGCCCCAGGTTCTCAAGACCATTCAGTAGTCTGAGAACCTGAGTTGGCACAAACCCAGACACAGGGTCGTTCTCGGACGGGTTGGAATGACCAGCGTAGATTTCAAATCGCCAGAGGTACCCGGTGTGAGACTCACATATTTCATATGTTTTAATACCAACTGTAGAGGCTTTGTTGGGAATGAACTGATTAATGTTCAGCCAATCTTTCCACATTGTCCAACTTTCATCAAGTACTATATTTTGAGTCAAAATATATAATTCCTGAAATTTTTTATTTAAATGATCTATAATTGGAGTCAATTTAATTAATTTTGCTTGTGACCGCGTCATTGATTCCGGATCGCAAGTAGCGTTGTCGTAGAAATGTAAACAAGTACCCAGCAGTAGAAAGCGATCATATGACATCACTGCCGTGAATCCGGGAGTACTGAAAATGTCTTTGGCGACATTCCAATACTCCTCGAGACGAGTCTTCACTACTGTCCCCATGGCGATGACAATAGCGAAGTACATGTGCAATTCTTCAACAGTGATGTTACGCCATTTCGTAATGCGACTGGAGGGCTTAAGCGTTCCAGTCGCGAATACGGTCGCTGCAAACTGCTGGGCGTATCTGTTTGTTTCTATTACTATATGTTGCATTATGGGCCGGTCCCATATTGCAGTAAATGCATCTAGTGGAGTAGAACATTGAATAGTGGGCCCACAATTGGTGGGGGTGAAAACTTCCCGCCGCAAACGTGGGTTAATAGGGGGTTGAGGGCAGGGTCCCCATTCAAAACTAAATTTACTAGTAGGGCCTATGCCTGCTGTGGGGTCCGTAAGCTCAGGCGAAGGGGCGCGTACGGACTCGGCCGAAGTGGCAGGTGGGAAGCAGGGATCTAGGCAGGCATTCCCGCTGACAGTCTCCTCTTCGTCTTCGTAATAAATTCGAAGAGTCCTGGGTATAGGTACCATATTGTTACCATCGTCAAGATCTTCATCAGTGACGTCGTCTTCATCTTCGCTTCCTAAAAAGTTAAAATCACATATGAAAAAGTGCGCTTTGCATCTCACGTCTACAACCGACCGAACTCGAGTGAACCATAATATAAATAAAAAAATTTACTGATCTCCAAAATTTCCTCGTCACTGAGGGTTCTATATCTGTGAGGTCTTGAAGATGGCGATGGCGCTCGTACCTGTGCTGGACACGGTGCCGGAGCTGGTGTCACTTATGGAGCCAGAGATGGCGCCGATGCCAGTTCTATAACCAGAATTGGCACTGGTGCTACTTCTGGAATCAGAATCAGAGTTGTTGCCGGTTCTAGCGGTATCGAGATTGAAGCCACTGCGTTCTTTCTATGAATTCAAATATATAGGATTAAAATTTATCAAATAGTTCAAACCCAAGCCAGTTACATGAAATTCATACTTACAAACTTCGTTTGGCCCTTATTGCAGGTTTACGACTGTAAACAGAAAAAAATGATAGGAAATGAGGATTTCATTTGGTATGGTCCAAAAAGCTGAATAAAATACTTACAAAGTACGTAGTTGTTTTGAGGTGGACATGGAGGGGGTGCTGCACGTTGACGTTGAAGTCATCTCATATGTGGACGTCGAAAGGGTGTCGCACGTAGATGTTGGTGTCGACCCCCTGCTATTTTCAACATACTCAATGAACCTGACAATAAATCTTGTTAAAAAAAATCCTAATAAACAAAACAAAACAAGATAAAATTAAATAAATTACATAGCGGGCGATGGAGCAAGAGTAACATCGAATGGTATTACCACTTCCATCTCCACTGGGACTGGCTCGCCGACCTCTAGGTCCATAGTCACGTGCTGGTTGACCTCCATGTTGGGTATGGTGGACCACCCAGCTATAGTAGCACTAAAATAAAAGTCTAGTAACATTTTGGTCAAGAAATGAGAAAAACAAAAGTTTAAAAATACTTACGACACCACACTAGGGTCTATACTTTTTGGGATGACTCTCTTCTTAATTTTGGATATAGGTTGCTCTAGCACCTCGTTTTCTATGTGGACACTGGCAGCGGCATATATTTTCAATCTAAAAATATTTTTGTATATTACTTAGTTATTAGTTCATCTTTATCTAAAAATGTTAGAAAGTAGAAAGAAAAAGTTAGTTAATAATAAAAAAAGCATTAGTACGGATCGGTGAGGTGTGGTCGAAAGGGGTGTATGCCACCGCGCGTGCGTGCCCTGCGTCTGGGTGCCAAGAGGCCGGGAGGGTTTGGGACCGAGGGGCCAGGAGATGAGGGGTCTGAGTTCGAGGTACTCGCGCGGACACTGTCTTTGGATCCACGTCCCCGTCTACGTCCACGTCCACGTCCACTTTGACATTGACTTTTATTGCCATGCATATACCTAAAGATTTGTTAGAAAAAGCACAATTCCAAAACAATACACCATAACCGCAAATAAACCACACACTAAAAAAGCAATAAATAAATATTAACAACTTAATTAATTTTATTTTGCACAAACATGCACAATATTCAGTGTATAAAAACAATATATAACAGTATACAATGGAACAGCTACAGAAATTAATTATTAGGTACCCAATAAAAATAAATAAGTTACCACATCCGGTAGTACACAAGTAGCCATGGATTTATTTGTAATAGAATTAATTTTATTTAACGAAATCTGCAATTTTCGAAAATAATCGGTGCAAGATTACAAGGCAAACGTCTTATCTATATTATCCCACCATCGTCGACGGCGGCCATCTTAAACGCGAACTGGGTCTGTGGCGGCACCGCGCTGCGGTGACGCTCTGTCTGTGGCGTGCTCGCAACGCGGGCGTAGCTTTCCCAGCTTTGTTTTTAATGATTTGCAGCTCAATTTAAACATATATAAGCTTTGCTACTCGTAATAATAGGAAACAGTTTAATTTTAATACGCAATAAACAACAGTACATTAATTTTGATATTTATATAACCTCAAAACCTTAAAGACAAAATTCGAGACCCTAGTGGCAAGCAGTGGAGTCCACAATTCAACGACGGATAAAACAAGAAAAATGAATTAAATACATGCTAATATTTATTTAAAATGAAAGAATTTTAAACAATATTTATATTTTCCTCAAATAATTCCAAGCGGAGACACTAAACACAAACTTTATTGCTTTAAACAATGACTACAGTGAGCGGAGAATGTACCATAAAGTAACAGCTCACTACCAAAAAGAATTGTATTACATGTTAGATTTTTTTGTCAATATCCCGTCTTTGTTATCTTACTCTTTAATACGTAGGAGAAACAGGGACAAATTTATTTTAGACCGCTGATTCGGCCGATTTAAGGAGACCTAATGTCAACCATCGCGCTGCGGTCATGCCACAGATAAGAGTCAGATGACGATGCTCGAGTTGCGGTGGCACCACAGACGAGAGGTTATTATTATTTTTTCATACCACGGAAAATTACATGGCCGATAATTTTATGGATTTAAATTCAATTTTCATTATTTATACCATTAGATAATTATAGAGTCTTGTAACGTTTATTTCCATTTTATTTACATCTCCCCCTCCTTCATCTCATCTTTTACATACATTACTGGGCGAGCAATCGGTATTGTAAACATTACTAGGTATTTAATGCAATTTGGACCCGGCGGGCTCCTTGCTAGATTCCGGGTCTTTCGGAGTTCGAGATAATAAATTTTAGTCACCCATCCTATGGCCGGCCATTACGAAAGAAGCTTAACCACCATATCCCAGACCGATCGCGCTATCTACTGCGCCAGCTCCTCAATACAGCTCAGTTTAGAACGTTACTCAATATTTATTTACGTAAGTACACGTAGAGACACTTTCTGATAAAACCTTTTTGATGTCACTAGAATAAAAATGTATATTTTTTTTTAAATGTATATATTTTTTAAAGAAAATAACTGTATTAAAATTTGTTATTAAAACATATTAAAGACTTCTTTCCTTCAGGATTCCTGATGATTGATGGTTTGACGTGGTTGTGTACTCCTAGCGTCATAGCTAGACTAGTCTCGGGAACAGTAAACGCAGTAACTTTGCAATATAAACTCTTTCTAGCACATCTCCATTTAGCGTCACCATTTTTATGTACAGTACACCGTCGGTAAGCGTATCCATCCACAATTAAAGTAGGATGGGCGCCCCCTAGATATATTAAATATACAGACAGACACGAACTCACCTGGAAAATAAAACCCATTCTAGGAGTAAATATTACTCTTGTAGAACCTTGTACTAGGTTTACCTTTAATAATATGAATTTTGACTAATACTTGATCATTACAAAGATACAATTTAATTTCGAAAGCTTTTGATAAATTGTAATAAGATAAATTTTCAAAGTTATTCAAACTTAAATTCAATAAATTATTGTAATTAGATCATACAAATACCAGTAGTCTTCCAGTGAATTTGCAATTCAGTGTCCATTTTCAGTTACGTCAGCGCAATGTGCTCGAAAATGATAGATATGCATTCATTCTTTGTGCTATCAAAGAGCAAGTGATAGCTTTATTTAGTTATTAAGATTCAGATTATGTTTTTTTTTTATTCTTAATACCGTTGACGTTACGATGTCATTATGTTCTAATGCATGAACTACAACATTGAGTAACTAAAATAGTGTTAAGATTTGAAAATATCGTATTTTATTGTATATTTTTGTGTAATACTTATCAGTAACATGTTAAAGTTTTTTTTAAATATCAAGATTACAATTAGAAGTATACAATGAGTTTAAAATCGTTTGATAAAATTTTGGAAAGAATTACATAGTTAAAACGATTAAAATTCTATATAATTCAAAGATTATTATATACACACAGAACAAGGTAACAATCACATACTCGTAGCGCGAGATCTAGTTCAATGTTCAGATCGGTAATAATACCGAACTCTACAGTACCTACGATCTTATCACTAAAAGTGATTTCATCCACTCCAAACTTTATTCTGATGCAATTTATATTAATGCAGTTTAAATTATTTCATTTATTTAAGTTACATAAAAAAACTCAGAACATAATTTATTTCTGAAATGTTTATAAAGTACATTTAATATATATAGAAATTTCTAGTTTTTTTTTAGATCATCCGTAAGGTAATCTGTTTTTCAGTGAGCAAAAACAAAAGGAAAGGACTTAAATTCGGAAACTATTTTATAAATTTATCATGTGGCAATCTGATATAATAAATATATGTTCTTTAAGTTAAAATAAAAAAAAATGATGATACGGTAGTATTTGAAAACAACTTGATGTTCTTAGTTATCATGTGTGTAAAGCGAAATAATAAGCGAAGAAATAATAAATAACGAAATATAATATATGTAGTTGTTATATTGTGAATATGATCAGATAATTAATATTATGGAATGATTTCGTAAGCAATGCCATCCGGATATTCTTTTACTTCAAATAATCACGGTATTATTTGAAGTAAAAGATGGCTTAACTGGTTTAAACCTTTTGACTCTCCACAAATAAAGTAGATTGTGTGCCAAGATGTTCAGTTTTTCTAGAAATAAACGAATGGAATTTAAAATCGACTATATGTATGAAATAAATGTACCAATAATGAAAAAGAAGGGACCAGCCGGTCCAAATAATAATGTTAAAAGTGCCTATAAAATGGAAGAATAAAAATATGTGTAAAGATGATGAATACTCGTAAATGTGAAGCATAAAGGTCATAAGTATATAGTATTGCTAAAGACATGGGAATAGATATTAGGGGCCGTCCATTAATCACGTGACGCTCGAGAAGGGGGAGGGAGTTCGTCAAAAATCACTAAATATTTTTTTTAGGGTGGGGGGGAGGGGAGGGGGTGTAGTAATTCGTCATTATTTTTTCCGCAAACGCGCTATTACTAAAAAAAACATGTTATTTGGGTGGAGGTTAAAAATGCTTTAAAAAAACATCACGTGATTAATGGATGGCCCCTTAGATGGATTGGACTAAGTATAAGTATAATGATAAAATGAATTACAAGAATTAGAAAAAGAAAAAGTAGTTACTGAAATATTGTAAAAGTGAATTCATGAAATGAGTTGAAAGTGAAAATTATGAAGTGTTTACGAAGAGTTCTGTTTAGTGTGGTTAAAGAAAAGATTTATTTTTTATTACTCATTTGAAATTTGATTAAGCCTATTCATTTTACTTTTTTTTTTCTTGTCTGTGGGTAAAGGTTAATTTTATAAGAAATAAAGATACAAAATTATAAAAGTGATGGATTTTTTTTTTTTTTTGATTTATTACTGCTTGATATCATTAAGTAAATATCAAGCAGTAATAAATCATACTGTCCAAGTAATAGTCGTCTCATTAAGTCCCTACATTGCAGGACGACTAATAAAAGTTTATCAGTGCTATTTACAAACAAGGTTTAGCGTAAGAGTAAATTTACGCTAAAATTGCAATTTTAGTATTGGTCCAAATTCATATTATACAGAGAATAAGTAAACCTACTAGCTTCTACGAGTAAATATAACTCCCGTAGCACTTCTTACTAGATAAAGATTTGCCAAGTCAGTTTAGTAATATGAATTTTGACTTATACTAAGTGCAATCTCAGCGTCAATTTACTCCAACAATAAACCTTATTTATGTATCACACCATGTTTTGTTAAGGAGGTAACACGGTTTCAGTTTTGGTCCTAGTTGACATTTTTATGCATAAAATGCCGATTTTTAAAAAGATTCTGGATTTCCAGGCTTTACAAAAATATTCATTTTTTCATTTATTTTTTATTATTTAATTAGGTACGTCAACATCATATATATTTAACCTTAACAATACAATATTAAAACAATTACAATTTCTTATACATATGACAATTACAGACAAACACAACATTCACTTATTTATATTATTGCACATACAAATCCTAAACATTAAATCAATAGTGACAAATTCAATTAATAAAATCAAAATTAGTTAAATTAATCAAGTCAAATTAAATTAGCCAAATAAAGAAAGAAAGATTTTCATTCATTAACTTTATTCCAGCCGGTACTTTTAATCCAATTACAATATATTCATTTTGTATAACTTCTAATTAAGTAATGCTTTATAATAAAAAAATCAGCGTGCTGTAATTCCGAAATATGTTCCTACATGGTGTGTATTTTCATAATTATATATTTTTGTCAAAACTTTGCGTGTGGAAATCTTAAAATTATAATAATTGAATTAACCATAATAATGCAGCGTATACAGAAAGAACAGTGTACTATTTATTCCTACGATTTAGTATCACATATATGTACTTAGAACATATTTATCAAAAAGAAGCATTTTAATTTTATAGGTAACATTTCAATATTTTTTTACATTTTAATAAGAAAAGTGAAGGTATATCAATGAAAGTCAGTAATCAATCTTTGGGTTCTTTTGCTGAAACTAATCTTAAAATGATCATTTATGATGTCACGATAATGTGTCACAGTGGCAGCTTTTGAAGAATATAATGTATATCTTTGTCAAACCACTCATTATATAACAGAAACAGGCGATGGAAATTCAGGTCTTTTTCTAAGTAAAGTTTGTTGCTGCCAGTGTGAGACGCTACTGGCTGAAGGGACTTTATATGTTCACATACACTTTTTAATAACATCTTCAGTTGGTACTCTGCGATTAGTATGTCGGCCTCGCATATCCATCTTTACCATACCACTTATGTTATCTATTTTCTTAAGCGACGTGTATATATTTCTTTCTGTTACTGAAAGTGTATTCAAAAACATCGTCTTACATACAGTTATAATTTCTTCTTTTGTTTCAATTTTTTTCGGTAGTCGATAAACTAAAGTGAAATTGCGTCTAGAGATTGCATCAGTCAATTGTCTACATTTCTTTTTTTTTATAACCAAATTCGCGATGAACGCCCATCGCTTTTCTACACTGCCTAAATCCCAAAATTTTCTGAAAAGCCGCAATCTGTCTTCATCGCAAACTTTTGAAGAACATTTGAGCCGGCAGTTTTTATGACACATCGGTCCCATTTTTTTAGCGTGCCTAACCGTACCATCACAGGTCGTGTATTCTTTGCCAGAATTTCTTAATACTTTTCTTCTGTTATTCTGCCATTCAATAGTATGGCGTTGTTTGATTTTCTTTTTGTCCTTCATGGACATATTTTCTAGCTTTTTCGTATTTTGAGATGTATTTGCATGTGGCGTGAAATCATCAGTACAACATGAATCAACAGAGTGTTCTGCCTGAACGCTATTTTCAAGATATAAAGTACAGAAGTGATTGTTACAGTCATTATCTAGATGATTTATAGTACATTCTGGTAATGGACGCCGTCTCACAATCTCCCCAAACAAAGTGGAACGACCTTCGAGATCTGAAAATAAGAAAATTAATTCAAAAACTATAAAATAATACTTATCTAGAAGGCTTTTATTACATTTAAAAAACTCCTTTATAGTCGGGTAGGAGATTTGTGTAAGTTATTATAACATGTCGCGTGCTTAGTAATTTTTAAGAAGTTATTAAACAGTACGTTTGGAATCTAAAATAATCAAATTCCTTAATAACTGTTTTGTAAATATATTTTAATAAAATATAATTGTTCCTTTGTGATTTGTCTTTTCTTTCGTTAGCTTCGCCCACACTTGTCATAACATAATATACTCCTAGAAAAAAATTGTAACAATTGTATCTCTTGCCCCAATAATAAGCTACCTAATTTGTGTAACTATTAGTGATGGCATTGAAAGTAAAATTTCAATTATATAATTGAACATTTACAAAATTTATGTATCGAGTGTCATTACAAACGTTACGTCTTCCCGAGCGACACTGTATATATTTTTAAAACTTTTTTTTTCCCTCACAATTTATTTTAATTTCAGATAATTATGGCTTAATAATCTTTTTTAGTAGCTCGATGGCGTAGTGGATAAGCGCCGCGGCCCGCGATCGTAGTCGTTAAGCAACTTTCGCAAGGGTCGGTCACGGGATGGGTGACCAAAAAATTATTATCTCCAGCTACTCCGTGCTTCGGAAGGCACGTTAAGCCGTTGGTCCCGGCTGCATTTGCAATCGTTTATACCCTCCAATTCGCATTATGCCAGCGTGGAGGGTCATGGCCCATCCTCCTTAACCATCCATAAGGAAGGCCTGAGCCCCTGCAGTGGGGACGTAAAAGGGCTGGTGAAGTGGTGGTGGTGACTGGTGAATCTATTTATAAATGAGATAGATTATCTTTTGGAACGCCGAAACTAATCCTAAAGTGTTAATTTACGATGTCAAGATAGTGTCTTTCAGTGGTAGCTTTTGAAGAATGTATGTCTTCTAATTTTTAAAAAAGGTCACAAACAGTGCGTTTGGGATCTAAAGGAATCAACATCTTAAATTTAATATTTTTTATCGTCAATATTTCACAGTTTACAAAATAAATTTCTAAGCACAAACAAATTAGATTTACTCTATGTGCCAAAGTTCGCTATATCAATATATTAGGTATTACAATATTATTTGGTCGTTGCGATCCAAAACACTCAGAAGTAATGTTTTTAATTCGTTTCTTTTTTATATTTTGTTCTTTAAGTGAATCTTGAAACTCTCCATCCAATTTATTTGTATTCTGTGCAGCTGATATCACTAGTTTCCCGCGGTTAACCGAACGCGTTAATTTTCGTGTACAACTACTTTTTTTACAGATTCATTAATATATTATTCCTTGAGAAACTAATATACAAAGAGACATTCCAAAGTAATACCTGTAGGAGATCTCCTAAATGCTGAACGTTGTTTGAATCAATCAAACTGCTGCCTGACATTGGGCGACACTATGTGTTTCAAAATTCTTATTTGAAGACTGTATTTTTCTTAATATAATCGTACGTAACTTGGAAGGCAGTACGTTATTATAGAATTAAACCAAGCCTAAAGAAAAAAAGAGCAATCGACATTTAATTCAAGATACTTATGAGTATCTACTGTATCAATTGTCAAAAATTGAATTGGTTTTGTAAATATATATCTACTGATAAAAAAAGTAGTGCCTCGCTACTACAGTACAGGCTTAGCCTATTGTGGGAGCATTAGACAGTTTAAATTAAGATAAATAATTATAATGCAAATGTGTACTTATACCGGTAGTATGTAATCTCTTTTATCTATACTCTAGTAAGAAAAGGAAAGATTTGATTGTTTGTTTGTTTGCATCGAATAGGCTTCGAAACTACTGGACCGACTGTAAAAAGTCTTTCACCTGCGGGTAGCTAGATCATACCGGGTAGTCATAGGCTATAACTTATGCGTGCAAAGTCACAGGACAACAGCTAGTGAAATGATAAAAATGAAATAAATAAAAGTAAATCAATTGTTTCTTTTTGTTTTTGCTGGGAGTTAGATCATTTTTATTTCTTTCGTTAGTTTCACACACACTTATGACATAATATACTTAAAGAAAAAAGTAACTTTCAATTGTATCATTGCCCCAACGAAAGGCATATACAATTTTGTGATGAGATTGAAAGTAAATTTTCAGTTACCACTAATATTTATTAAATTTATGTATGCAGGTCATTACAAACGTTTCGTCATCCCAAGCGGCATTGGCATAATTTTCATATAATTTAACTTTAGACAATGAAGTTTTAACAATCTTCTTGTAAATGAGATCGATGTTCTTTCGGAATACCGAAACTGATCTTAAAACGGTTATTTACGATATCGCGATAGTGTCTTTCAGTGGCAGCTTTTGAAGAATGTATATCTTTGTCGAACCACTTATTATATAACAGAAACAGGCGATGGAAATTCAGGTCTTTATCTAAGTAAAGTTTGTTGCTGCCAGTGTGAGACGCTACTGGCTGAAGGGACTTTATATGTTCACATACACTTTTAATAACATCTTCAGTTAGTACTCTATGGCGATTAGTATGTCGGCCTCGCATATCCATCTTTACCATACCACTTATGTTATCCGTTTTTTCTAGTGATGTACATATAATTTGATTCGTTGTTGAAAAAGTATTCATAAACATCGTCTTACATACAGTTATAATTTCTTCTTTTTTATCAATTTTTTTCGGTAGCCGGTAAACTAAAGTGAAATTTCGTCTAGAGATTGTGTCTGTGAATTGTCTACGTTTCTTTTTCTTTATAACCAAATTCGCGATGAAAGCCCATTGCTTTTCTACACTGCCTAAGTCCCAAAATTTTCTGAAAAGCCGCAATCTGTCTTCATCGCAAAATTTTGTAGAACATTTGAGCCGGCAGATATTATGACACATCGGTCCCATTTTTTTACCGTGCCTAACCGTACCATCACGGCTCTTGTATTCTTGGCCTGAGTTTCTTAATACTTTCCTTTTGTTATCCTGCCATTCAGTAGTATGGCGATGTCTGATTTTCTTTGTGTTTTTCCTTGACATATTTTCTCCTTTTTTGTTAATTTGAGATGTATTTGGTTGCGGCGTGAAATCATCAGTACAACATGAATCAACAGAGTGCTGTGCCTGAATGTTGTTTTCAAGATATAAAGTACAGAAGTGATTGTTACAGTCATCAGCTAGATGATTTATAGTACATTCTGGTAATGGACGTTGTGTCACAACTTCCCCAAACAAAGTGGAACGACTTCCGGGATCTGAAAGTGAATTAATTCATTCAAAAACTATAAAATGATACTTATCTAGAAGGCTGTTATTATAATTAAGAAACTTCTGTTGATGTCGGGTAGGGGGTTTGTTGCGTAGTAATTTTTAAGGTCTCAAGTATATTGTTTTGTAAATAATGCATATCTTGGCAAAAAATAATTGTTTATCTGTGATTAACTGCGATTTAAAATAATCGATCAAACAAACTGAGGTTCAATTGTATCTTTTGTTTCAAAGGCGTCATGATTTGTATAGTAACTTTTGCACAAATTATGATGCCTTTGTGCAGTAAAAAAAATTTTCTTATTTACTGAAAATGTTTTTCGATGACACATTGTTTGTTTACATTTCCGAAAATAAGTGAAAATTCGCATTTTTGGTAGCCTCAGTGCTATTATTCATTACGAGTTCTTACTTTATTGTAACATCTCACACCGCATTTTTTTTTGTAACCACGTTGGAAGATAAGAGCTGATCATCTTCCCTTAGGAAACTCTAGAATCAAATCATAAATTAGTGTATATTTCTTAGTAAATGAATTACAGGCACTTCATAATTGTTTTAATTTCGACAATGTAGCTAAATAAAAGTTTATCAGTGCCATGGGATGAATCTCTTTGCGATATTGGCTGTATTCATTTTAAATCACAAAGCACCATATTGTCATAAATTGTGTCTTATGCCATATAAAAAAAAAGATTTATTTTATCAACTGGTAAAAAAACTCTAGATCGAACGATAACAACGACGTAATCTTGTGTAGATGATCCAGTCACTTACGATTTTTTTAGATGATCCAGTCACTTACGATTTTTTTTAAATCTTGCTAATATATTATATCAGTAATTATATAATATATAAAAAAATAAGAATATATTATATAAGTAATTATATAATATATTCTTAAGCAGCTCGGCGGCGTTGTAGATAGGCACAGTGGTCCGCGATCGTTATTGTTAAGCCACATTCGCAAGGTTCGGTCACGGGATGAGTGACCAAATAATATTATCTCGAGCTACTCTGAGCTGCGGAAGACTCGTTTAGCAGTTGGTCTATAACTCTACAATCCGTATTGGGCGTGGAGGGTTATGGGCTATCCTCTTTAACCATTCATAAGGAAGGTCAGAGCAACCGCCGTAGGGAAGTAAAAGGGCCAATGATGATACTCTAAATACTTCAGGTAGATAGTACAATGGCGATTAATAAGTAAATAAACTTTCAAAATCTTGATGGCCATTCATGTTTCTAGAAAAGTTGTTTTAACGGGAGTAAAGAAAAATAATATTATGATTAACAATTAATAAAACATATTTGATTTTCAAGTATGTATAAAGATTTTATTCAATTGAACTTCTAAGGGGCCGTCCATTAATATCGTGAGGTTAGAGGGGGGGCTTTGTTAAAAATAACGAAAAATCACAAGGGGAAGAGGGGTTATAGTAGTAGTATATCACGTGTATTTGTTCCTCAATCGTGCGTTACGTTTACAATTACTAAACCGAAAAGCGGCAACAAAATTTAATAATTTTTGTAGTTCCTAAAAAAACACGTGATTTGGGTGGAAGAGGGGGTAAGTTTTTAACCTCATTATGTATCACCAAGGGAGGGGTGTTAAAAATGCTGAGAAAACAATCACTTGATTAATGAACGGCCTCTAATGCTGTGACAGCACTGTGCATGACGCTGTACGCTCTATAAACAACAGTAAAGTCTTATCGGTGATATTCATAGAGATAAAATGCTATAGGATGTAAGCCCATACAAACGTTAGTTTGTTGATTACAACAATCCTCGTGACGAGACGCGTCAATCAACGATGGATGGAACAGTTGGTAACGATCAACATGCCCTTTGTGAGCAATTATATAATAATTGAAATAAAATCTCAGTAAATAGACTTTAAAAAGAGATCAACACCGTTACAATTTTATAATGCTTTCATATAAATTGGTTTTTCAAGTGCGCTACAGCAGCGCTTATGCTTATGCTGGTCCGTCTTCTCGACAACGATTTATCTTAACGATTTGACTGCGTTTGTTGTTTTATCCGAAAGAGTAAACGAAAATTGTTTTTTTTTGGTTGATGTAAGCGATCTTAGTCACTATGGATTGATGGATATGGATAAACTGTACAATCAGACTGCGCAGTCAAATCGCCATAATACATCATTGTAGTGTGGGGCGGCCATAAGCTATCTAAATAGTTCATTTAATCCAAATAATTTAGACAACTGCGGTATCCAAATATTTGACAGCTGCGGTATCCAAATATTTGACAGCTGCGGTATCCAAATATTTGACAGCTGCGGTATCCAAATATTTGACAGCTGCGGTATCCAAATATTTGACAGCTGCGGTATCCCATATATATGACAACTGCGGTATCCCATACATTTAACAGCCGCGCATCTCATATTTTGCTAGCCTCACGTTAGCCTCGGTTAGAGCACTACAGTTGCGCGATTAAAACCCCTCCCATATTTTTTTAAAAAATCTCCTTTAAAATTTGAACTTTTTTAATTTCTTCGCTGATGGTTTGTCATGATTATGAACGCCTATTTCTTGGGCAAAACCGGAAACATAGAATGTTTTTGCGGTCGCTTTGCATTTTAAACCTCGTCTAGAACATCTCCAATTCGTGTCACCGTTTAGAAGTATTTTGTCCCGTTTATATAAGTATCCTTTCAGTAATAAAGTAGGATGAATACGGCCAGGTAATATCTGGTATTGAGAAAAATCTGAAAAAGTAGAAAAATAAGTCTAGTTTAATAGGTATAAACGATGACGTATGACTCGAGCTATTTACCTATAAATACTCACTAAATACTAGCATTGAATTATTAATATTTTCCTAAGCTGTAAATTTACAACTGCATCTTTGATCATTTACCATTAGTTTACTAGTTGCAGATGTTTTGTTTTTCCATTTTAGAGACCGTATTTTTGGATTTTCAATTCAGTTAAAGAAACGAAATGATATTTCATTAATAGTTATTTTATTTGAAATTTTGACACATTTAAATCTATCTATATAATAAATAAACCTATCTTGGAACACACACACATATTGGGCCACACCTTGACACACATAAAAGCATATGTTCTCATTTTCCTCACCACACTAACGTTTACAAAGCCATCTAGCAGCCAAGGGCTATTTTGTTAAAATGTCATTGCTTGTTCTCAACAATTTAAAAACAATTTATTAATTTAGTCTTCAGTCAATAAAGACTTGATGATCTTTAGCATAAGTAACAGGTAAATTTAGGAAACAAAATAAAGCCGTTTTAGATTACGAAAGGTGGGGTCTTTAAACAGAACGAACACGTTATCGCTTTTGCGTGTTGTGTTTACCAATAACAAAAGATGTTTAAATTCTGCAGTGTCTGTAGCAGTATTTCACTTCTTCCAATAAAATTTCAGTGGCATTAGGTTAAAAAGCTCAGACTCTTAGCAGCATTTTTGATGTACGCAGGTCATGCTATCATTTCGTCGAATGAAAGTGTTCATCGTAGGCAACGATTATTTGGTCCATGTCGTGGTGGGTCTTGATAAAGGCTTTGCAACCAGTTTTCGGTCGCCGCGAACAATGCCACAGAATTGAGTTGGACGATTTGAATTTAAAAGTGAAATTATGCTCTTTGTATCGGAGCTTCGGATGTTTTCCTTTTACTGATGGAAGGAGACGTGCCCCTGCTGTGGATTTAGATATACTTTAGTTTCCTTGTAATGTAAATGTGGAAATTTAATGTCAACAAAAAAAGCAAGAAGGGCTCCATGACCCACTACTGGAAAGGCCGGTCGCAGCTTCATGCTAATGGTGTTGAAGTTACGTTTGTAAAGCACTACGTGGGAAAGGGTTTTCGTGTGGGATATAAAAGAGCAATAAAATAAATTATCTTCGCATAATCCATATGAAGTCAATCACTCCCTGCGTGGATGAAGCCACTTTTTATATCAATTGTTCGGTGTAATGGAACTGTGAACTGGAATGGAAACAAAAAGTCGCCAGTCGTAGACATAGACTACATTAATATTTTTTTCACAATTATACGGCATTACGCAATTGATATAATCTTGCGATTGGAAGCAGCAATCGACAACCGTGTCTGATTACCGCCATCAGACAGCGACTATTGTGTGTGATGGATGATGTGCTGTGTGAGTCGGTAACTATAAATGGGTACATTGCCTGACACAGTGCCTGAACACTCTATAACACAATTCTGTTCCTTTCAATTACATTTATGCATCAAATGAATGCCTATAATAATATCCTGAATTTGGTGGAAGTGTTTATCGTAGGCAACTAATATTTGAGTCATAATAAAGGCATTGCAATCAGTTTTTAATCACCGTAAAGAATTTCATAGAATTGCAGCTGTGGATTTAGAAAAAAAAACACATACTTAGTTTCTTATAAAATAAAATGGGAACATTTAATAACAACGAATTCTCCAAAAAGCCCAAACTCCTTGTTTTGGAATACACATTTAGCCTTTGGTCCCGGCTATGTTCAATAGGTTTCTGTAGCAGATTATGGCCTGTTTGCATTATGTTTGTAAAATATTAAAAAGTGAATGATGATGAAAAAACCAAGGATAGGACTGAAAAATTTATTCATGTCATAATTAATTCCCCGTTTCGAGTTTTGATGAACGAGGGCTTATCGTGGCAGTGTATGCCTATCTCAATAGCATGACCTGTTAATAATAAAGTTTTTGCAGTAGCTTTGCAGTTAAAACTTGCACCTCTTTTGGAACATCTCCACGTGGC